AAGAAATGAACTTAATAATCATGGTTCAAACTTCATAAATATTTACATTGATATCGATAAGAAAAGGAAATAAAAAGAAAAATTAATAGTCATGATTTTGTGTTCAACAATTCATGTAAACAATTTTTGACATTTAAACATCATCCATAACATATTTATCAAGGTCATGTTGCAAGCTTTTAATATACTTTTGAATCATTCAAAATGGATAACCGTAGCATAAAATACATCATCAAATGAAATTTTTTTAATAATAAAAATGTTAAGAAGCAAAAAATTTTAGATTGAAGAGGAGGGTTTGTTAGCCTATTTTTTGAATTAATTTGAGCATATTAGCTGCCTGATTTTGAGATGAGGTTTTGTTAATCTATATCTAGATGAATTCGACCATATTAATGCCCTTTTTGAGCCGCATTCTTTTGAAAAAATACATTCTTAAATTGTGATTTGACATTATTTCAACCATACATTTTTCAATAAAATAATATTATATGCAAATTCAAAACTTTTTCTTATTTTTTAATCACACATTCTCCATCAATCTATTATTCTGAAATACATTCATTCAAAATAATAATAATAATGTGGTTCGAACACACACTAAGAGTGCAACTAATATGGTAAAGACATAGTTAGCTTTAAGTGTATTATTCTAATTATTTTCTTTTTAAAAATAGTGTGCCTAATTTCCTCTATAATTGGGATCACGAAACTAAAGATCTTATAACAAGGTTGGGTTGGAGCACGATGGAAATAACACAAAAAAAAAAAAATTATCATTTTTGTCATGCTTAATTAATTATTATTTTATTTTTATATACGATTTAAATTGAAAACATTAACATAAAATGATTTAAAAAAGGGACGTTATATATGCTCATAGGCTGAATTTGATCTCCACACCCATTGCCTTTTAGAACATTGGCTACAGTCATCCAAAAAATATAGACGTTCTCACTTGAGCGAGCAATTGATTACTTTCTTGTGGTGACGTTTTAAAAAGTGGCTTGATTATTGTTTTAGGGGAAAAAATGAACGGGATTAAATGGTTGATAAAAAAAATTAAAAGATAATTCATCTCTCTAAATATTATACCTTTAAAAAAAAAAAAAGAAGTAAACTAGGTTCCATTCATTCGGCAAATTCCATGACATGAATTTGAATTTGATAGGAAATTTTTATTCTTAGTTAAAAATAATCTCTTCATTACGTTATACTATATAGAATTAAATATGAATATTAACACTTGTTGATAACTAAAAATGATGTGATAATTATATATCAACTTGAGAGAATTTTTGGCAAAATAACGATGTCTGATTGCTAAATACAGAGAGAGAGAGAGAGAGAGAGAGAGAGGTTTTTGTAGTGTATGTATAATGTTGTTTCTTGAGTTTGACATTACTCATTCGAAACCAATCCGACAAAATCACCTGAATGTAAAGAATTGATCAACAGGATGTAAAAAGTGATTTGAGCCCACCGACTTCACGATGTTTCCTTAAAACGAATTTGCTGCCTTCAATGGTGCTAAAGGCGTCCAACAATCGTTTCTCAGGATAGAACGAATTTTCGTCTCCTACGGAAGCAGCACTGCAATCTGCAGGAGTTCCAACGAACTCAACGAAGTGTGTTTTATTTTGAGACAATATCAGAACGAGAGAAAGGGAATGAGATTCAAAGCACAGAAAGTTTGCAATAAAAATGGTGTAAATTTTCTGGTAGAGAGGCTGACTATTTATAAACTTGTTCGTGGCCATTCGAACAGTCATCACCTTTCATACAAACCTCAAAATCCGAACAGACATGCTGTTTTTAAAAGTCGCGTCTGTTAAGTCGATAAACAGTCGACTGTTGGGTCGGTAAACAGACGACTGTTAAAAGAAAATAAAACACCCGGAATAAGCCAAATTTAAATTTCATAATGTACCAAATAATTTGATTATTTACAATTTGGCCCAAAATTTTAAATAAATTTTGTCCAAAAAGTTAATATAGTGCAAAGGTCCACCCGCATCGAACCGGACCGGACTCGGACTCGGGCACGTGCTCGTGCCGAGCCGGTCGGTCGGACGACGGCGCGCGCGTGTAGGTTTATGACCGAATCCAATGGGATATAGGTCTTCCCCCTTCCAAAAACTATTGGTACCCCTTGGGGCCCAAACCCAATTCCAAACTTCCACCTTGTAAACCACACCAAAATTTTCTAACTTTCCTATATGGGATAAGTGTTTGGAAAATCAAATTCTTCCATAATACTTAGTTTATGTGGGTTACTTTAACACTTAATATTTCATTCAATTTTAAATGGTTTTTGATAAATAAAACGTTAATCATCTCGCGGAGTAGAACGTGAATATGCTAGGTACCGTATTAATTAAAAGGTGGGTCCCACTGAAATTTGGGCTCAAAGTTGACCCATTTCATAACCATTTTTTCCAAAAATCCCCCACATGAATAAAATATGT